TTGTTTTTTGGGTCACAGACCGACAAAAATATTAAGAAATATTTTTGCCCCGTCTTAATATTTTGTTGTAAATGAATATTACTTTTTGTCACAAAAACTAATAAAATATGTTAAGTTCTCCAATTTAAAATAAAAATGACTGGCATAAATGGCAGTTTGTTAGTTTCTAGAGGCTTTGAAAAAACATGACATTTTCATATTTTTTATATTTTCAAAATTATGTAATTTCAAATTCCTATATATTTTTTTACATCCACACAAGAAAAGTTACATCAATGAATCCTAAAAATTCATTTTTTAAGCTTTAGTTTGATATAAAACTTGTTTACATTCCTCAAAGTTGAAAATTTGCTAAATCTGAAAAAAAGTCATGGAATTGCCCATATCCAGATCCAAACCGGTTAATTCTGGAGTTTTTAATTTTATCCTTATAAGGCTTATATAATCAAACTTTACTGGTTGATTCTTCCAGAATTTGTTTAAACAAATTTCAAACGAATAGAGGGAGGTTGCTATCACAACTTTGTTCGGAAGAGCGTTCCAGCTGTCAAAAATACGATTGTTGAAACAAAACTTTCGCATGTCGATGCATGATTGGTCTTTTAATAATTTAAGTAAATGTCCACGAGTTCTATCAAAAGTACTTAGGGCCTACTAGGTGCAAAAAACTTAATACAGAATTATCATATTTATTATTTAAGAGTTTCGATCATATCACCTCTATACCTTCTAAATATGCAAGTGTAGGTAAACTTTAGAGTGTGGAGTCTGGATAGCTCAGGCCCTTGAGTTTAGAATAAGACTTTTAGCCCTACGCTGGACACTCTCGATAAGATCTATATGTTTTTCTAAATGAGGACACCAAACCGCAACACTAAACTCAAGATGCGGTCTAACAAAAGCCTTATATAATGACAAAAATACATCAGGTTCCATGTAAGTGAAAACACGCCTAATAAATCCCATTAATCTATTGGCTTTGTTAACCTTTCCATGAATGTGAGCATCAAATGATAATTTACAGTCAATAGTGACACCATGTCCTTTTCAGATACCACATGCTCTAAGTTATGGGTACTATTAGGATCTAAAGCATAGTCATATTGTACATTGATTCATTTCTCCTTCTCAATGGTAGAATTTTACATTTCTGACTATTAAATTCAAGCTGCCAGGTCAATGACCATTTTTGCAGTTGCTCTAAATCATCCTGCAACTGTACATAATCCCTATATGTTGATACATCCCTTCCTATATAATTTAATAGTGTCATCAGCAAATAAACACATCTCTGAACTAACAGAGTTAGGCATATCATTTATGTAAAAAACAATAACTAGCCCATGCCCAAGCCAACATAGTTGGCAACTTGTACGGATTGACTGTGAGAATCACAGGTAACTTATCACTTGCCAGTTTTTACTACGGATGAACAAAAACTCGCATATTTCAAGGTTACTCATGGATCAAAATTTTTAAACTAATAAATAATGATTTGCGAATGGCATAGGCCTATACAGTATATGCAATAAATATATCATTTGCCATTCATCTGTAGTGTTTATAGTGTAGTAAAGAAGAGTAAGCCTAGGTTATAGTGCAAGACCAGTACCCTCGAAATTGGAATGGTAAACAAACGACGCCCTTACAAGTTTTCATTATTATTATTATGTACGTTTGCTGCCGTCAGTGTGCTTTTATTACCCAGTAATGCACCGTGCATGGTTTGTTTTTATTTTTCTGTTTTCCACATGAAAGTATGCGCATGGTCTGCACATCTTGATTCATGAATAAAATGAGTCCGTAAAAAATGTTTACATACATACTCATAATTTAGTGTCCAAGATCAATCAAATCAGTAATGAAAATACCCAGATTGAGCAAGCTTCAAGGGGATTCTCCCCCACCCTCGGTGCCCCCATCCCCCCGCCAGTGGCTGCGAGTTCTCACTGAGTTTTTTTCGGGAAAAGTTGGCAACTATGAGCCAAGCCAAGTTTGGTGTGAAATATAATAGAATATAGGCCTAGCCTACCTTTGTATTCAATCAAACATTTATGTTTGCATCAAAGAGCATTATCTATTTTGATAGTAAAACTAGCCTAGTCCTAGTTAAAAGATTTTAATACAGTAGGAATAAAATTTATTAATTCAAGATTGTTGAGGCGTCGAAAGTATAACAAAGGGTGCAATTACAGTAGTAGTAGTTGAGTAGTGTCAGAGCCATAGCACTTTAAGTTTAGTATTTCAAAAATTAGATTTCGTTTTGGTAGACAACTGTAGTACAGTATAAAGAAGTACCGGTATTTCATATTAGATTTTGTTTTATTACTACGCCAATGTAGGCATGAATAGATGTCAGTACGAACCAGTTAGCCAATGTTGGGCGTGAGGTGACCTAAATTATTTGGGTACACATTCATCAAAATATGTTCGAGTTAGCATAGGTACAAGTTAGCCGACACCCAGGTAATTTGACCATACATAATATATGTCTGTAATACATAATATATGTATGTAAGTAATGAAATTCTGACTACCTGACCAAATGTGCAATCATTTTATTTTTCAGGAAATTGCATGTGAGGAGAATGTGTGAGTGGTATTAGCAAGGTTACAATGGCAGATCGGCCAGAATCAATTCTACAATTATTTGGAAATAAAACACATTCGCTGAAACTTGGGAAAAGTTTTGAAAAATCATCAGGAGAAGTCTATCACAAATTGAAGTGTAAGTTTAAGACATATCCAGCAAACGTATTCCTGAATTCTTAGAAGTAAATCGTCTCTAGTAACTTTGAAGTAACTTGGTAATACAAAGAGCATCTTTATAGGCACTACCAAGGGCTTACAACAACCAAACTCTACTTCAAAGCATACTTACTCGTCTGAACATTTGATCAATAGAATATAAAATATTCATATTATGTGATGCTTTTAAACAAATAATTGGCTTTGTTAATCTTACAATAAACTTACCTGCATTTTGTGAAAAAGTATTCCAAACCAAGTAGAAAAAGGAGTGAAAATTACCCCTCAAGAGTGCTGGCTCTACTCTGCCTTGCGCTAATTAGATCCTCAGACAATGAACAATGAAGTGTTTGTAATTAATAGTTTTTATTGATAATTTCTCATTTTGTGTGTTTTATTCAAAATCTAGATGACTTTAAACCAGCCTCGATTGATTGCTCTCAGGAAGCTAGTCTACAAGTGGAAGAAAGCAATAAAGTGACAGTAACACTTAACAATTTTGAGGTCAGTTTCCCATAAGTAACTTTTGGGCTCATCACTGAATGGAATTTTTTTCTCTACACATTCATATTCCAATTCATTAATCAATTAATTCATATTGCAAATTATATTTAGTACTTTTATTTACACAAGTTAGTTTATTTCAATTTGATAGTATATATTATATTGTACAGTACATTATAAATTAATGAACCTACTGTAATAATGGAATATGTTGGCCATTTATAGCACAATACAAACACAAACTATTTGCACTGTACATTATCAGGCCTGGTTTCTATATAAATCGCTACACATTCGCTATCCTTGCACTGCGTAGCTGTCCCTGCCGCAGTCGAGAATGCTTCCTGATTCAGCTGACCAATCAGTGTCGCCAAAGGAGTCGGTGATAGCGTGTAGCGATTTTTGTGGAAACTAGGCTATACTCCGCAGTGGTGGATCCAGGAATGCGAAGTTGGTTGGGTCAACCTTGAATCTGCCACTGCTCCCAGCATTGGATAAACACCTACTAGTTCCCTGGTTGAATAATGTTGCAGTTAGTACCCAGAATCCTTCATACACCATATTTAACCAATCAAGGAGGCATGCAAAAGCAACTTCCCAACTTGAATAAACATTTCTTTATTGATTATAAATGTATTGTTTGTTGCTACAGGGTTCAGTGACTAGTCACACTCTATATCAAGGTTCTAAAGCCCCCAATCCAAAAGAGTGTGTACTGATATTTGATCATGCTACCGGACAGTTTACATTAGAAAGGTTAAGCAGTAGTATTACGGTCAAGAAACAAAGGTATGTTGTCTCATATGTGTTGCTCTATTATTTATTATTGTTGGCCATAGTAATGTATTGTAATGTATAAATTTGCTATAGCACTTACACTAAGTTCCACCCTTTAATCCTAATAAGGACACTCAGTGTATAAATAACTCTGCAATGTGGGAGAGGTTCCCCAATATGGAAAAAACACACAACCCAAACCAAATGACCTATTGTAAGATATAAAATGTAATATGTTGATGATTATTTGTACTAATCTAGGATTGATGGCACTAGCAAAGCACACCTGTACCCAAGACAAAGAGTACCGCCTGTTGGTCCCACTAAATCATCCTCAAAGAAGAAAGATAAAAAAGATGTTACAAGTCAACAGATATCAAAGGAAGATGTAGAAAAAGGTCAGTCAGTATTAACTTTAAAAAAAATATATTTACAGTTCAAAGGATCCAGGAGGCAAAAGAAAAAAAAAATTGAGCAGCATTTCTTATTAAACATGAGTCTGTTTTGTTTCCTGTTTATTTACAGTTCACTCTCCAATTCAAGATCTGAAAATCCGGGGTGGTCTTGGGGTTTGGTCCCCACGTAGAGGGTTAGATTTGTTATTTGATTCTTTGAAAAAGTGGTTTCGAATTAGAAGGATCTCGAATTGCCTTACGCTGACTTCAGATACCAAAAAGCATTAAATAACTACAATTACTGAACAGGACAACTGGACCTTTTGCATTTAATCTTAAATCATTAGGATCTCAAATTGGCTTACGCTGACTTCAGATACCAAAAAGCATTAAATAACTACAATTACTGAACAGGACAACTGGACCTTTTGCATTTAATCTTAAATCATTTCTTCTATTGACGATTCATGTGCTCAATTCAATGGACCTTTCTACTAAGCCCGCCCTTTGGATATTGTTGCTAAGGTCCCCACAAAATGACAGTGTATAATCATAAGCAATTTGTGGGACAACATGTGTGTTTGGCCCTGTTCTGATTTGTCAGTAAGGAGCTTAAGATTTGTTCGACGATGCGACGTTAGAACATAGATTTTGCCAAATTGCATTCCAGAATCTATTCGACGAGGTGACCTTAACATTCTCACATGCGCAGATGACTTTTAGTGACGTCATTACCTTCTACGTCCTACTGTCGTCTTGCAATCGAAAGCTCCCTAATTTTAAATTTGGTTAACACTCCAGAATGTTTCATTTTTCAAGAAGCAAGTTAACAGTATCTGTGGACATACTGCTTAAAAAATACTCATGATTAAACAATGTTGCATTTTTTATTTTATCTTGTTTGATTTATATTCCAGTTGAAGCAGCATTAGCAAGATGTTCACCGATACCAGTTAAACAAGTATCCACCGAATCCATGGCAAGCAGTGGTTCAAGTAGCGCTGAATCATCAGACAGTAGCAGTGAATCTGAAGAAAGTGGCGATGAATGTGCCGCTAAGACGCCACCGCGAGAATCACTGCCACCTGCTTCGAAGAAGCCAAAATTGTCACTAAGTGGCAGCCCAAAAGGTAAAACTAAAATTAACACAAGATCATACTACCTGGGTGGTGAGGAACTATCATAGAAAAAGTGCTTTTCCCTGTCCATAAAATAAACAGTAAGGGAAAAATTACAAACACTTAGACAATCGCTCCCACAAATTTATTACCCCAGGACACAAATACTATTGACGGGGAGAGATGGCTTAGTGGGTCGCTCCCATAAATTTATTATCAGAATTATTAATATGTTTGGTGTTATTCAATGCAGGGTCAAGTTCCGTACACAATTCAAGGCAAGTAAACTCATCGAATACCATACTGATGGACCAACTATGTAAGTTGCTAATATCTATTTATATCTTCTTTTTTTTCACTCACCAACACCACATAGAATTTGCCATTTATAGGAGGGAAAACACACTCAAATAAAAATCAATAGAAAAGCCACTCTTAAATTAGTTGTTTCTAGTATAAGTACATGGGTTGTTGGATGAGGAAATAAAAAAAAATGTAAACACTCTTGAAGATAAATTAGTTTTTTATTTTTCTTTGTATTAAGGTGAGGATTTGCAATTAAGCGAGTCGAGTAGTGACAGCGACTGAGACTCAAGACGTTGCAGGGACTAAATCTTGCAGAATTGACAGCCAGTATGTACAGTTTGCCAAGACCTAGCACAGTTACATCATGGACCATAGTAACATGATCTATATGTAAAAAACACAACTTATTAAGCTAAAGATTGAATCTAAATGCTAATAGTAACAGTGAACAAGTCTACATACAACAGTAGTCAGTTAATAAATTTACAAGTCAGCTTTTTAGCTTTAACATATGCTATAGAAATTTTATTTATTATTCTGAATATTATGCTGAACTAGCAAAGACTATTAGACTCTGTCCACACTATCAAATGTAGCCTAGCGTTCTCCAAGGATTTTATGTTTTGAAATTTAAGTGATCCTTTAAAACCTTAGTTAGCCTTAACGTGTAATTCGCAGGTCGAAGACTATCATGCATAACTAACCATGCCGTAGATGTGCAGGGGCTTAGGCCTAACATTTGTCAAAAAATCTCAAATTATAATTTCCAATCAATTTTGATGGTCTTTACAAGGGACGGCCGCAATTAACATCTCGACGACATTTGATTGACAGATAAACCGACTAATCAACGAGCGTCATTTAGTCATGTGATCAAAAACTTTTTCTCCGACATTTTAATTTCCTTAGACAGCTGGTTCAAACGCAAAACATACGTGAGCCTAGGCCTAGATGTCCATGCTTGGTTACAGTATGGAGGTATTATTGAGATCACTCGAAAAAGCCAGGAGCAAAGCTGCCGCAGCGCATGAAGGGCGTTTGCGCGATGCCTTTGAAGTCTGGTGTGTTCCCCGCTATCAAATGCTCAGCAGGCTTAGTTTACAAAAAAAATTAAACATGGAAAAATGGAGAGCACCTTCTTTTCTCAATGCGCACTACATACAGTCAATCACTATGGCTGCGCAATTGTTTCCATTTTGAAGCTGATACATTTATCTCATGAAATATCAAACATATTCATATTTTCTACAAAAAAGAATTTCAAATTTAATGAAACATTTACATGAGCATTGAAAATTTAGTATATTTGAACATCAATTTCCATAAATTGGATAAAATTCGATAATTCTAATTTTAACAAATATTAATTAATAAATAACTGAGGATTATAATAAACTAAGTTATTTTAGGGTTAACGAGGGTTAACTATTCAAAAATTCAATCCAGAAATAGAGTAATTTTCAGTTTTACGCTGCCTTAGCTTTATAGTCGAAATTATAATGAACACAGAAGTAATTGTAACAGGAATATTTTGCGGAATCTGTTCCTGAAATATACACATAATAACATATTAAAAGTCCAAAAAAATCCAATCTGGGGAACATTGTTAATTATAAAGATATTTAATGAGTTAAAATCAAACAGGTTATTGCACAACTGCTGTTTGAAGCATATAAACGCATGTCGTTGCCAAGTTGTTGCTAACGAAAAAATGTGAATAATAAGATAATACGCACGCGCGCGGGAAACACATTGGTTTGCTGCGTCAAAGGGATCTGTTGCCTAGTGATCTCCTTCTCAATAATACCTCCTTGGTTATAGATACCCAGATTTACACCGGCAGTGCACATCAATGACTTGGCCTTTGCCGACAACAAGGTTGACTGAATGCGGCTTTCCCTCTTCCTTTGGGAGCGAAATACGGAGGCTTTTACAACAATTTTTCCGCCATGTTCCATGAAATAGATTAACACTATGAATATATGATTCATTTGCATACCGCCTACCCTGAATTCTCTTTCTTAAAGAAGGTTGATAGCAAAGAAAATCTTCGCCAACTCGGTAAGTCTAGCCGCCATTGTCTAAGGTTTTCGTGACTTTGTGTGCGGGGCTTCGCATCCTTGTCGACATGTCAATAGCAATCCCCATGTTAAACACCCATTGGCATAACCATTACGTTTAGGTGTAATATGACATCATCATGCCCATATATGGGCACATCACACAACTTTGTCAAATAAAATTTGATAGTGTGGACAAGGCATTATAATTTAAGTCAAACAATCACATTATATGAATCGGCCAAACTATTACACGATTTGCAAAACAACACATGGGACATTCTTACCGAGATACCACGGTTTTTGCACAAAGCAATAAAAACCTTGCTTAAATTTGGGGCAATTTATATGCAGACAGTAAAGATACGCAAAACAACACACGGGACATTCTTACCGAGATACCACGGTTTGTGCACAAAGCAATAAAAACCTTGCTTAAATTTGGGGCAATTTATGTGCAGACAGTAAAGATACGCGCAACGACACAGAATGAATATAAGTTACGCGCCATGAGCATGCACACCGGTTCTTGGGAGTGTTACAGGCCTCTTTGATGTCTGTTTTTTCCTACCTGCAAATTTAACATGGACACAACTTAGAAGGGGACACTTGCTATATTTTGTCTTATGTGAATTGGGTATAATGTAATTTGGAAACAATGACGTAGCCTACTGCAGAATTGGTGTTGGACAAGCACACCTGTGATTTACGCCTGTAGTAGTGGCATTGTTTGTCTCAATCATGTAGGTATAAAATTGTTTTATCAGTAATTTTGTGCAGTGATAAGATATTTGTGATGTTACTGTATGGTAAGAAGGAAAATAATTATTTGTTATACCTGTACAAATTTTAAACTCCCTTTAAACCTAAATAAATTTTTGATGGGGTTGAGTAAAGATAATGAGTAGTCGGCCATCTCTGCGAGATAATTTTTAACATTTTACTAACAACACTTTACTACTAACAGCACTTAAATAATGCTTGCATGTTCAAAACAAGTCTTCTTTTTGTTAATTGTAATGTGTATATATGTCATTAAATGATGAAGTATCAAAATTATTTGTTATTCTGTGTTCTTTCATTTCTGTCATCCCAATTTGAAGATCATTATTTCAGGTGATGTCAATAATAAGCTTCATTTTTGTTTTATAAAACAAATTGTTATGATGCCCCTGAGGAATTATGATTGAAATTGGCCCCTGTTGCCATTTGTGGTTGCTGTATTGCTCTTCAAGTTTAGTTAGGCTTGCCTGCAGATTTAAAGTTGGCAAGGACCATTAATAATAGCTTCAAATGTATATCAATTTCCTATTAATCTCAATTACAATAACAGATTTTAATTATTTCAACAAGGCCCCTTTGGAAACAAGCAGAAATGCAGGGTTATCCTCACATTCTCTATAATTGTTGTCTTGTGAGAATTTCAAAATAAATCAAGTCAAATCAAATCTGGTAATACATTCAAACAATTAATATAGTAAAAATAGTAAATAAGCAATTAAATTCTTGAGGATTTTTTAAAATTCTTCCTCAGCCCGACTCAAATATTCTGAACTCTGGGAATGAATGCAATGGTACTACAAAGTATATTGGTAAAAACTTGCTTTATTTACAGTGAATATGAACAATTAATAATGATACAATGGCCATTTATATACAGTGACATAATTACTGAAAGAACTGCAAATACAATATATTCAGTACTTTATCACCTTCACAAAGGAAAATCATAAAACAAACTCCAAATTATTGTAATATAAACAATGAAGACTAACCTAGGCTGACTTGGTCATACTTAATTCATTAAAATCAAACGATCTCGATCAAGAAGCATTGTTAAATATATTTACATTGCACTCATAATAGAAACTTTGGTTTATTTTAAAAGGAATATACAGATTCCCATCATGCTTCATGTTATTCATTCTCAAGAGAAATAATGCATGCGTGGTTATTACTTTGAACTTTGCAACAGTCTAACCAATATATCTACCACTAGAGGGAGACATTCAACATTCCTAATGCTATCCATTTCCCAATTGAGAAGCAGCAATGACATGTCAATTATCATTTAACTTAATCATTTGCTTAAATCCAAAGCAACATTGATGCATACATCATTCCTCCACATCTACGTAAATAAAATAACAAAATTTAGAAATAATATGAGCATGTGGTTCTCATATGACAAATAATGAACTTACAAAACATCTATCACTGTAACAATAAATAATAAATAATTCTGGATTTATATAGCGCCTCACGTTGACACAACCTCGAAGCGCTTGAACATTATTACCCCCGGATCACTGGATCAAGCACATATGGAACACAAACTCAAGCCCCATAGAGAATTCCATAATTTTGCAGCTGTATTCAGCGCAGGCTGTGTTTGAACCTACCAGGTACCCACTTGTACTAAATAATTCTATCAACTAATTTATTGAAAACAAAATGAAAGTTATTATCAAACTGATTTTTCACACACCGATGATATGGCACATACCTCATTACAATGCCAACAAAGCAAATGAAACAGAGCAAACACAGCGTTAGCAAAACTAAATAAATACAGCCTAATAATAATTACCTATATAATGAAAATTAAAAATAATAAACTTTCTTTAAAAAATTAAATTATAAAAAAAAAAAAAAAATAAAAAGTGACATGTGGTAGAGTTAAATCTGGCCTATTAAAATATCAAACACAGAGTTCATATTCATTTTACTGTATCGCTGGTTAGGAGTGTAATTAATGGTTATGCCCTTATATAACATTGTTATTCACCGCACAACATATACCTCATAAAGCAGAATATTATAGGGTACGTTTCCACATGCTCAGAACATCAAATAACTCTTCTTCACAATTCCACAATTATATCCTATTTGATGTCCCTCGGCAAATTATCACATGTTCATATCAAGAAGTACATGGTAATATTATTTAGAAATGTTCAAAAAAAAAAATGATGTTGATAAAATCGCAGCTTGGGTAATAGGAAAAAAAAAACCTGTCTACTAATTCAACCTGTTACCAACAATGAAGCATTTACTTAAATTCACAATATCTTAAATAGCTCATTTGTATTATATATTTGTAAAAAAAATTTGCTAAAATTTGAAATGAAAAGAGGTATACAAAGCAACAACCTGTAATAATAACGTAATCAGCCCCGATAACAAACATAACAAATACAATGGTATTAAAATGAGTGATGAAACACTCCGTTAGGGGATAAGTCTACATATCATAGTATGAATAGAGTTCAAAGGAGGTTTTGTTAGTAAACTGCAAGATCAAATTTCATTGAAATTTTGATTAAATATTTTTCATAACTTTTTAAAAATTTATTATATTGCATTCATACTGAATATTTTCAAATCAATATCTTACGATGATAATTATCATCATCATTATTATTATTATTATCATACATCTATCACTCAACAAATGTATAATATTGGATTACTGTTGCATATACTTTCGTATAAACCACAAATTCTACATCACATTAATAACTTTAAGAAATTTGAAAGCAAAACACTGAGTGAAAAAAGTGTACACTAAATAAAATTTATGGATGCTAAAAAAACATTATTTAAATACAGTAGCATCATTGCACCATTCATTGGTACTATTGCATTGCTTTCTATTTATTATGCATGAAAAAACATGAAAAAACACCTATTTGATTGTTGCTCAGAGCCCCTCACTCTTTCTAGGTTTAATTTTATAAAGAACAAAGCAGACATTATACTGCAGTGTTACATGACCCCCATTTACATATATCGTGGCATACCATGACCTCCGTTTACATACCCAATTGTGTCTGAATGATTCTAAATTTTTATTAAGCAAATATGTTAAAATTAAAACGTAGTAGGGTGGGTAACAACAGACATTCATGCCAAATTCTAATGAATAATTTTAAAAATAAAACAAAATAATTAAAAATGTCTGTTTAATAATAGTGTGAATTTGATTGTATTATATTACACAAGAACTGCTTTGGAAGATCACTCAGCTGAAGTTGTAACCTACCTATCAAATCCCCTCTTACTTACTTCATCGTACGACGACCCTAAATCTACTCCCTGTGAGCCCTTCTGCTGATTGCCTGTGGCAGTTTCAACGGATCATTAAAAAGGATTCGTTGTGCGCTTTCATGGCACTGCGTTCTCTATAGAATCGCGTCGGCCAGCGGACGCAGTGGGTGAGCGGCATAAAAACACTGAACTACTAGACATTTGAATATTTACTTATAAGTACAGTATGGAGAGCCATTTGGCGGTATAGTGTTATACTGTTTTATTTGTTTAATCTTTGATTTTCCTTTCCTAATGAATTATTACATGTTTGACATACCCATATTTACTTAAATAACTTAATTTAAAAACACATCCTGAAGCATTGGACATAGAAGTTATGTGAAAAAACTGAATTTGCATATACTGTAGTTAAAATAAATGTGCGATTTATCAGCATATTAGCATGAACTATACACAATAGTTTTGAACACAATCATTTTTCAAAATTTTTCACTTTACTCTATTAAA